TTTATTAATTCATACCGTTGACGCTGGCGTCCAGCGTCTGTATCGCTGAGGTTGTCTCTGTTGCTCTTGCCAGCGTCAGAAATATCAAAGCAAAAAAGAAAATTGCAAATCATGGCTCACCCTCGCTGCTTAGTCATCATGCTGTGAAACCGGACGCGTCTGTGGGCAGATCAGCTAAAGTGTTAGAAGTCCTCCTGACTGCTGCACCAGCATGTTTATTTGAACAGTGACGGACATCATTGTTCTCCATCCATCAACAAAATCCTTCAATTATCTCTCCTCACGTCTCGCTCCATGCAGCGGTCAGCTGAGTAAAATCATTGTTTTCTATCTCACATCAGTGATGGTAACTGCAGTCAGTCTGCAGGGGGGAAACATACGGCTGTCAGTGTGTTGCTATGGTAACATCAACAGAGGGAGCCACATCCTCTCGTTTGCTCTAGTGATGCTCTCTGAATGTTTGTGTGATATTAATGATTGAATGATTAATGATATTAATGATACATCTTCACTTTATAGACCACTCTAACAGTCAGTCTGCAGGGTTCAGGAGGCTCATTTTTTCGTTTTTTAACAAGTAATATTTTACTGTGGCAGTTATGTTACCTCTGTCCCTCTGCTTCTGAACTATTGTGGCACTCCTCTCATTGTCTGCTACTCATGTGCATAAGCCAATGCAAATTTATTTATGACTGTAACATATACAGAAGCAATTCAAAGTGGCTCATAGTTTGCAAAGAAGAATTTAAACAGGATAAGATGAAAATAATGTAGAAAGTAACTACAACATTAAAGCAATACAATAAGTGAATGAATAATAAAAAGAAAATCCAACATAAGGCGATTTAAACAGCTTTACAGGCGTAAATCACAAGATGTTATAGAAACACAAAGCAGTATAAAAGTAATCTTAATATGAGGTAGAAGGTTAAATAATAAACTGAAACTGAGTTAAACTGAATAAAGAGAAGATTGAATTAGAGTAAAACAACAATGTCAGATTTGGGAGATGCTCAGTGAGACAGGTTATTCCGCTTTATGAGAAGCATGATAGCAAAACTTTTCCGTAATTTGTGTTGACAGTGAACCGTCAGCAGACCAACATTAGATAAACTGTTCTTGAAGAGGGTTCTTGGGCGGCACAGTGGTTCTAACCCTGGGGTGGGGGAGCCCTTCTGTGTGGAGTTTGCATGTTCTCCCCGTGTCAGCGTGGGTTTTCCTCCCACAGTCCAAAAGACATGCAGGTTAATTGGTGACTCTAAATTGTCCATAGGTGTGAATGTGAGTGTGAATGGTTGTATGTCTCTATGTGTCAGCCCTGTGATAGTCTGGTGACCTGTCCAGGGCGTATCCCACCTCCTGCCCAATGTCGGCTGGATAAGTGGTTACAGAAAATGAATGAACGAATGTTCTTGAAGATCTGACATTCAGATCTGCCTCAGCTGTTCTTTGTCTTTAGTGCTAATTAGCAAATGTTAGCAGGCCAACAGTGTTGTAGTAAAGACCATCTCAACCAAGACCAAATGACCAAGAGCAGATTGTATCGAGACTGAGACCAAGACCCTGAGGGGTTAAGACCGAGTCAAGTCTAACTGTGCATTCCCACCAAAAGCTTCATGAGCATCATAAGCAGCCGGCAGCCATTCATTTTCAATGCACGCTGGCGACGAAATGTGTCAGGGGCGTCGGCTGCAGCAAGCAGCGTGATGCCAGCGTCCAGAGCGTCAAGTAGAAGTTGAGAGAAGCTGAACCTTATGCAAATGAGCAGCGCCAGCACTTAAGCAGCAGTCAATTGCAGACCGGGATTCAGATATGGAGGTCTGGGCTCTCCCGGAGCTGTACCAGCTGGTGACGTTCCCCGTGGAGTTGCCGGGTTTGCAGGACTCTGTGGACCCAGACTGCCTGACGGCTTAGGACCCTGCGTTTCCTCAGCAAATACACCGATGCAATATAAAGGAGGCTTCCGAAAGAGCGACCCATGAGCTCCCGCTTTTTTATTACCAATTATATTTCTCAGTGGTCCTACGTGCTAGCAGGAGGGTAAAATCAGAACTATAAAAGACTCATAAAGGCTATATGTGTTTATAAGCGTTATTTTAATTGTGTAATCAAAGTCATGAATAATACATAGTGAAGACATAAATGATAGTATATTTGTTCATCCTTGTAAAGTGCCCAGCCGGTCAGCCTAGATGGACACATCTGCAGCGCCCGGCCCCGCCCCGCCCCTTTTGCCACTGCAAGCGCCTGCTGGAGCTGGCAGTGTGAGCGATGTCAGAGCGACCAGAGCGCCCGCAGGTGACTATGAAGCTTTTGGTGGGAATGCACAGTTAGACTAGACCAGTGCGAGTCCACAGAAAACATATGAGTAATCCACTACAACTAAGTCTTTTATCGTCATACTGTATGTGTGCATGTATATGTTTACCCTGGGAAATTAATCAAAAAATAATCAAAAGGAATCACAGAGGTGAACTTCATGTGTGGGAATATTCCTTTGGTTTCTATGAGACAAACAGTAAGGACCTGAAATCAGCTTTTTGCACAGGCAATTTAGCGATAACCCCCCAATTGTTGTCTTGAAATAAAATCCAGAGTACTTTTTGTCTGAGACCAAGACAAAAATGTATAAAAAATAAAATAAAATAAGAAACAGAGACTTTCAGAGAATAGTCTTGAGACTAAGACTGATCTTGAGTACAACGCTCCATGTTAAAATACCAAACTAAGAAACAGCATACCTGCTACAGTAAACATCAGCATGTTAGCATTTAGCTCAAAGCACCAATGTGCCTTAATGCAGCCTCACAGAGCCGCTGGCATGGCTGCAGACTCTTCTGAGACTTAAAATGCAGCTGCCAGACTCAGTCTCAAGTCTGGCAGCTGCATTTTGAACATGTTGTAGGTCTGCAGTAAAAGATTTTTTTGGGTAGACCTGAGAGAAGACAGTGACAGTGCAATAGAACCAGAACTTGCTCAAGATGAATATAAGGATCTGCTCTGTGGTTAGCCTTATATTTATTCTATGTAAACCACTGCTGGAATATATGAAATGCAATATTTTTTTTGTCCACAAAGAGACACCAGAACTGACGTGTAAAAGTTTCATGATCTGAATTTAGAGAGGAGAAAGAACCTCCTGACATTTGTTCATATGAAATGTCACAGATGGCTATTTGCTCGATAAGAAGAAAATGTGGGTGAATTTGAAACGATTTAATTCAGCTCATGTTTTTTCATTACTTTTCTAATGTTAATGCCATTAAGTTCCATGAAGAATAAGAAAGCATAAAATACAATCATGAGCTGAGAGCAGATAATTCAGCTGTGATTATCATCTGTAATATAACAGCTACTTATTGAGTGCTTCTGCCTCTGACTCACAGATGGTCTAGACTCTAAGTACTGTGCTGATTACCTTCTAGATTTAGAAGCTGAGTGTTTTCCTCAATGTATGAAATCACTTTTTGTATCCATTTCATTTAAACTTTTACGCATCTTAGCTGCTGATAATCCTATAATTTCAGCCCTTTATACATCACAGTACCTGAGACAATCATTTACAGTTTTTCCATGGAAAACATATGTTGACAGCCCAGATCCTAAAAAGATGGCGAAGCACTGCAAACTCAGGGGATGCACTGAAGATCCCGGTGGATAGTGGAGTCGCTGAGATCCCCCTATTATTAGACCTGTCTAATATTAGATCCTGCATCTGTGCTGAAACAAAGGGGAATTAAAAGCTTAACATCACCCCTGAGTGGAATTAAGTGCTGAGGCATAATTACGATGAATATGCAAAAGGATGTATGGAAATGTGCTCAACAATGTGCTGCGTTTTGTGATATTGTCTTTGTTTTTGTGTGCGGATTTCCACGCATTAGTGTTTTGCAGTGGCTGCAGTGAAAATATTCGTCTCCTTTTCAACCCGGACCAAATTTCAAAGTGGCTTAAGTTTCTGTAAATGGCCAGAAAAGCATGAAATCAGGTTTAATACCTAATATCAATGGTTATGATTGTGTTGTGCTCATGGCTGTAATTTTAAACTTCACCCAACAGACATCAGTGACCTATTTCCTAATCCAACTTTTATTCTTGCGTTGATGCACAAGTGGGTTGTCTGTCTCTATACAGTGATTGGCCCACATACGATGCAGTATGCAGTATAGTAAATCTCCCCGACTCAAAGAGCTTTGGACGTCGTCCAGCAGGATGTCTTCAGGCCAGACGGCAGAGGGTCAACTCGTTTACCCCGTCCGACCTTTAGGCCTCGATGGAGTTGAATCTTAAAGGGACAGTTTACAACAAAATCAAAGATATATGTTTTTCCTTTTACCTGTGGTGCTACTTATCAGTCTAGAGCAGTGGTTCCCAACTGGTCCAGACACGGGGTCCAGATTTATTTCGTTTGGCCATGTCGTCGAGCTAGTGTGCTGTCTTTGTTAAGTAGCTGTCCGTTAGTCACTCGCTCTACAGCAGGATATGGCACTTCAAAATAAAAGCTCTGTACCCGAAATTTACTGTACCTCAAAATAAAGTGTGTTTTTTACAAACTTGACACATTTGCAAGTCACTTGCAGTCCATTCAGAATGGACCTGCGACTTACCAGTTGGGAACCACTGGTCTAGATTGTTTTGGTGTGAGTTGCCAAGGGTTGGATATATCGGCCATAGAGATGTCTGCCTTCTCTTGAAGATAATAAAACTAGATAGCACTCAAATTGTGCGCTATCTAACTTCTCAAAGCTAAAAAAAAAATACTTTTGAAAAACTCAACAGCAATGTCTCTTTCCAGAAATCATGACGCAGTTACTGGTGATGATCCACAGACCTTGCTGTGAGCAGTTTAATGTAGCAACTATTTTATTTCTACCGAACTACACCCACCAACCGTATCATCGCGCAGAGAGAAGCGTGCATCTACTGCTAGCTCACTTAGTACACATAAGTGCTTTATTCATGAAAGATGCCAACATGATGTTTTTAATCTTCTCCTTCAGGACAAAGAACTCTCCACCACAGAAGTGATGCCCTAGAGACTGTGGTGCTCGTCAACCCTTCAGAAGACACCATTGTATCAGAGGTAATATCAATATGTTCTGAGGAACAGGACCCTGTCACGTGGTCATGTGTACTCTGACATATCAATGGCGTGGGACATATTTAATGTTACCCTCGAGTACATCTCTGACTGACACGTTTACTTGTCAAATCTTTCAATACCACTGCAAATAAAAGTGATTGACTGATTGAGTTTTGTGACACACACACACACACATATATATATATATATATATATATATATATATATGTATACATATATAAATATAGTTATTATAATATATTAAAAAATAACAATGATAGAAAATAATACAAATAAAGAAAGGTGTTTTTTTTTAATACATTAAAACGTGAAATTAACATTTTTGGTAAAGTGTTTAAAACATTTAACAGTTGAGAAATAAAGTTGTCAGTGCTCTCTTGTGGATGAAGTATTTAATAGAGACACTGTTTCTAAATGACCTCAAAACAAACTTTTGGTATTTCTGTACTAAAGCTGCAATTAATGATCATTGTCGACTAATCTGTAGATTATTGTCTTAAATAATCAATTAGAAGTATGGTCTATAACATGTCAGAATATGGTCAAAAGTAGTGAACAGTGTTTCCCAAAGCCAAAAATGACGTCCTATAATGTCTTGTTTTGTCCGCAACCCAGATATTCAGTTTACTGTCACAGAAGTGTAAAGAAACCAGAAAATATTCACATTAAAGAGCTGGAATCAGAGAACTTTGACTTTTTTATTTTCCTAAACTTTACTCAAGACAATTAATCAGCTACCAAATTAGTTCAATTCAATTCAATTTTATTTATAAAGCCCAATATCACAAATCACACTTCAGAGGGCTTTAGAGCATTCAACATCCCTCTGTCCTTGGCCCCTCGGATAAGGAAAAATCCCTAAAAAACAAAGTTGGTGATTAATAGTTTACAACTAACTGATTAATTATTGCAGCTTTATTCTGTACTGCAGTATGTTATACTTATCAGTGACATAAACACCAATACTAGTATATCTATATCTGAGGAATATAAATATGTTCTATACAACTTTGGTTTTTACAACTTTTCCAGAATAAAATACAGTCTAAAACAGGCAAAATTTTGGTTCAAATCAGGTCTTAGATACCCAGTAAATCACCTGCTTTGCATTTGTTGAGGAGCTACAACAAAAAACCTGATGACATTTGTATCTCTTAGATTTTTGCCAAATCTTGTTAACCTTGACACAATTTAAGTGCATCTTCCTTCGTCAGTGACACAGGCATTTCTCTTTCTATTGGTTTGTAAGTTGTTATAGGGAAAGAGGATGGTGGGTATCAGAGTATTTGTGTCTCTGTTGTATATCCTCTTCTGTGTGTCTGCAAGAGCATCATGCAAGTGTTGACATTCTCTTTACTTGAGGCATTACTTGCACATGTTTGAGCCTTGCACCCAGGCAGCTGCTGGTTAAATATTCATTGCTTATTTTCATTCTTTTTGTGCTTTTCCACAGTATCAGGTGTCACATGTACAGTGTGTGATTTATTTATATCAAGCCTCAGCTTTGAGGTATTCGTCCTATGTGCTCAGGGTGGCCAATTAGGGCGAATAGTAGTGTAGCTTCATCATATATGCTGTTATAATGTTGTGCCCTATATAAATGGGCATCGTTCCTTTATGTGTGTTTGTAGGCCTTAAGTGTTGGAACAGTGTTGGAAATGTCGCATATGTGTTTTTTCAGCTCAGAAGCTGCTTCAAACGGTAACACCATATTTATATGGGCCCAATCATTAGTAATAACTTGGGCTCTAGTTCTTTTTTCCAAAACCTTGCTCTGAGGAATATAACTTTGTTTTTTACAACTTTGCAAGAATAATATAGTCTACAACAGGCACAAATTATGATTTAAATCAGGTCTTAGATACCCAGTTTATCACTTGATTCCCAGTTGTTTAGGATATACAACAATGAAGATACTGATGACATTTGTAGATTTGTCTGTTTTTTGTTGTTGTTTTTTTGCAGATAATTCGTTGCCAGGTCTTGTTATCCTTGACACAATTTAAGTGCATCTTCTTTCATCAGTGACACAAGCATTTCTCTTCCAATCTTGGCAATGTTATCTCTCCTTTAACTGCCCTCTGTCTCTCTGTGTGTGTGTGTGTGTGTGTGTGTGTGTGTCCTAGATCCAGTCTCTAGTCACAGACTCAGCAGGACACAAGCTTCTGGTCTTGAGTGGTCAGAGCTCAGATCACGGCGGCCTTCTTCTTCAAACTGGGGTTTTCACCTACCAGACCTTTTCACGAGTCTTTACTGATCCTGGGGTGAGTCCAATCTACTGTCCTCTAACACTTATCAAGATGAAAAAGTATGCTGCACATTAATAAATACATTTCAGTGCTTTAAAATAGTTTATTATGAAAGTAAGGGACATGTTTTAGCACATTTTAGCAGTGCATTTGTTAACCTAATTTGGCCACAAATACACAAAGAACTCACTGCAGACACATAGATAATACACAAAGGATGAGAGTATTCAGGCACTAACTTGCTCACCTTCAAGTAATAATAAATAATTAATAAAATATTTAACACATTCCCCTTGACGAAAAGCATACTTGACTAATATATATGTATTTTTCAGCATGTTTTCACAACACAAGTCCACCACATTTCTGAATTGATCACTGACTGATGTTTGTGGGTTTCTCCCTCCTGCAGGTCAGTGAATTACTGGGCACAACAGCCCCCAAGCAGCAGGCAACACTTACTGTGTCCTGCCGCGGGGAGGTGGGCTGGAGCTCCCTGGGACAGCAGCAGATCCTGCGGGAGTTCCTGGAATACAGACTAAACCCTGAGTCTGTTCTTCCCAAGATGGAAGGCGTCACAGAGTTCACAGAGTACATCTCTGAGACGGTTGACGTCCCTTCACCTTTTGACCTCCTGGAGCCACCCACATCCGGAGGCTTCCTGAAACTGTCCAAGCCTTGTTGCTACATCTTTCCCGGCGGACGAGGAGACTCTGCTCTCTTTGCTGTGAACGGCTTCAACATCTTAGTGGACGGAGGCTCTGAACGAAAATCATGCTTCTGGAAGCTGGTTCGTCACTTGGACCGCATCGACTCGATCCTGCTCACACACATCGGCGCTGACAATCTCCCAGGTATCAATGGGCTGCTTCAGAGGAAGATAGCAGAACAGGAGGAGGAGCAGTCCCAAGGCTCCACCAACTACAGCGACTGGATGAAGAACCTGATCTCTCCTGAACTAGGCGTGGTATTCTTCAATGTGCCAGAGAAGCTACGTATGCCAGAATCTAATCTTAAAGTGAAGCGCAGCATTGAAGAGGCCTCGCTGACTTTGCAGTACCTTAACAAACTAGGAATCAAACCTGAACCACTTTTTCGAGTGGTCAGCAACACCATTGAGCCCATTACTCTGTTCCACAAGATGGGTGTGGGCAGGTTAGACATGTATATTCTTAATCCTGTCAAAGACAGTAAAGAAATGCAGTTTTTAATGCAGAAGTGGGCTGGCAACAGCAAGGCCAAAACTGGTATTGTGCTGCCCAACGGGAAAGAAGGAGAAATATCTGTACCCTACCTGACATCAGTTACAGCCTTAGTCGTCTGGCTTCCTGCCAACCCTGCAGAAAAGATCATCAGAGTGCTGTTCCCTGGGAATGCACCACAAAACAAGATCCTAGAGGGGCTGGAAAAATTAAAGCACCTTGACTTCTTGCGCTATCCTGTAGCCACACAAAAGGACATTGCCTCCGGAGCTCCTCCCTCTGTTATAAAACAAACCAAGTTAAAGCAAAGAACAGACAGCAAAGAGAGTCTCAAGTCGTCCCCGAAGACTACTGCAAAGACCTCAAAGAAAGAGACTGAAGGACAAGATGATGTGTCAGCCGCCACAGAGGCAAAGAGTGACTCTGTCAAGGAAAATATCTTGGAGAAAAAAGAGGAGAAAAAGCCCACTAAAACTATAAAATCTAAAAGTGATGTGCCAGAAAAGAAGAAACTCCTGAAGGAAAAATCCTTAAAAAAGCACCCAAAGGAGAGAGTGTCAAAAATGGATGAGAAAAAGGACAAGGAAAAGAAAGAGATCAAGAAAGTAAAGAAGGATGACTCCGTTAAAAAGGATGAAAAGAAAGATGTTAAGTCCAAAGAGGACAAAAAGAAGGACACATCCAAACCAGAGCTGAGAAAAATTACAAAGCCTGACCTGAAACCGCTCACACCAGAAGTCAGAAAGACATTACACAAAGCTAAAGTGTCAAGTAAAGCAAAGACTGGAAAAATCAAAGCAGCAAAGGCTTTACCTGCTGAGCCGAAGCCTGAGGAGCCGAAACCTGAAACTATTCAACCTGAACCAGTAGAGAATGGAGCTGTTGAGGGCACGTCTGTTCCCTCAACCCCAGAAGACCTCACCAAGGATTATGAAGATATGAAAAAAGCTGAAGTTGTAGCTGTATCAGCAGAGCCTCAAGACAGTAATGAGCTGACAGCACAAAGCCTTACCCAAGAGAAGGAGGCAGCACAAGAAACCACATCTGAAATTCCACCTGGCACACAGTCTCCAGAAAAGGAGGCAGCAGTCCCAGAAGAAGCTGAAGTTGAAGACAAAGACCAGGTGTTGACACAAGAGAGAGAAATGGAAGAGGCTCAGAAGTTTGAGGATGAAGGAGCAGCAACTCAGGATGAGGAGGAGGAAGAGGAGGAAGAAGAGCCCCCTGCTGCCGCGAAGAAAACAGAAGAGGAGGAGGAAGAAGATATGGGAATAGGTGAAGAGGTGGATGAATCAAAGGAGGCAAAGGATGATGGGCTTGACAGGAAACACGAGATAGAGGAAATGGAGAAATCTGAAATTCTCGCAGCTAAGGTTGTGGCAAAAGAGGAGCTACAAATGATTCCATCTAAAGCCGAGGAGGAGGAAGAAGAGGAGGAGGCAGTGGAGAAAGCCGAACTGGAGGAAGTGGAAGATTTAGACGTAATAGCAGACGAAGAGATCAAACCCAAAGATGCAGCTGAAGAAGAAATCGTCACTGAAAGCAAAACTACTGAAATCCCGACTGGAGCTGAAGAAGAGGAAGAGGAGGAGGGCTACCTGTCACATGTTGCAGGGGCCACAGCTCCCATAACTTCCATTGTTCAAGGAGCTGCTGCAGCTGAACCCATCTCCTACATCCAAGATGAGACAATACCTGGCTACTCTGAGACAGAGCAGACCATCTCTGACGAGGAGATTCACGAGGAGGCAGAGGAAAGGATACCACACCTCCAGTACGACGTTGGTGCTTATGACATCTCCGTTCCAGATCAGACCGGATCATTTGTAGACATCCACGGCATGAGGGAGATGCAAGCTGCGGCTATGACCGAGAAAACTTTCATCCCAGGTGTGCAGGAGCAGGTGTCAGTTTTCACCAACATCATCACTGCTCCTCTGGCAGAGGAGGAGCATGTCTCTTCTGCAACGTCCATCACAGAGTATGACAAAGTGTCCTCCTTCCCTACTTCTATCGCCGAAGACCAATCTGTGGCATCTGTCGCAGCACCTCCAGCTGAGGAACCACCCAAAAGCCCTGTCACCCTGTCAACACCACCTGACGCCACCCAAGGCAAAGAACAGCCAACCTCTGCAGGAACACTTTCACCACCGTCTTTGGAAGAAGACAAACAATCCAAGTCTCCATCTGATGACCTAACACTTCCTGTTACAGAAGTAAAGACGCCAGCTAAAGCTTCTGAAGCTCAGGATGAGGGGGAACAAGAAGAGGAAGAGGATGAAGACCAAACTCCTAATGTTGACATTTCACTTGAAAAACTTCAAGAGGGCTATGCTTCATCTCAGCTGTTACAGGGTAAAGAGACAGATATTGAAAAGCTTGCTGGCTCAGTGTCTCCAGTTTCTATACAAGACACCAAACCAGTCCATCTCCCTGTCGAAGAAGAAAACATAGATGCTATTGCACCTAAAGATACTTCATCTGTTGTGCCTACTAGACCTTTCGGATCAGACTCAGTAACTTCAGAGAGTGAAGAGCGCTGCTTCAGTCCGGATGATATCACTGTGAAAATGGCCTCCCCTCCACAGTCTGGACCGCCGAGTGCAGCTCACTCTCCTCTTCGTCAGTCACCAGTGGAAGACAAGATGAAGGTCTTCCCCGATTTAGAGCCTCAAAAGCAAGAGGAGCTCCCTGATGTCATCACAGCTCTTGAAGACAAAACTGCAAAGAAAGACGAACCAGCAATGCAAAAAGATATCGACAAACAGAAAGCAGAGCAGCAGGAAGAAGAAATTTCAACATCTTTGGATGAACCATTTGAGAAGGACATAAAAGAGGTTCCAGTGATGAAGGAGACAGAAAAAGAAACTCCATCAGTACCAAAAGATGAAGGCAAACAAGCAGAAATAATCCCTGATGCTGCTGCGTCTTTAACAGAAGTTCTGCCACCTGCGTCAGCGAGGGATTCCCTCGTGTCATCTGGACAAAAAGATGAAGATATTGACGACAAGCTCAAAGACAAAGAACCTAAAGTGCCTGTTCCAGGTAAATTTCCAGAGAAGGAGAGTCGTTTCCTGGATGATGATGATGATGACAAGAAAGATGACGATGATCACGATGATAAATCTGCAGTTAAAACCGTCCAGGCGGAACAGGAGAAAGGAAAGGACGACACCTCCTATGTCATACAAATCAAGGATGAACAAAAACAGAAATCTGTCATCCAAGAAGACGTTTCTGCTATTACGTCCATCACAGATGAGAAAGCAGAGAAAGAGGCAATAAAGGATGATACCTCTGATATTAAACCCATCAAAGATGAGCAAATTGCAAAAGACATTCTCACAACTGATACAGCCATAAAAGATGAACAGAAAGAGCCCGAAAAAGACCATACTCCTGAGGTCAAAACTACTACAGAAGCAGAGAAGGAATTTGTTGCTTCTGAGGCCAAAGATATTAAAGATGAGCAGAAGCAGAAAGATGATGATTTTGACCTTAAAACCAAAGGTGAAGTTAAAGAAACTGACCTTAAAAAGGATGACGTGGCTGATAGTGAGATTTCGAAAATGGAGGAGAGAAAAGAGACAGAGAAGGATGCTACGATTGATGTTAGCCCTATAAAGACTGAAGAGAAAGAGATTGAAAAAGTACACGCCACAGATATCAAGCAGGACGATATGCACATTACTGAGCCTACTAAAGATGAGAGGGAAGAAGAGGCAGAAACATCTGATATCAAAGTGATCGAAGATAAGAAAGAGGAAAAGGAGATGGAAAAGATAGATGCTTCTGCTACCAAGCCTTTTACAGATGAGCAGAAGGAAAAGGAGAAAGAGATGGCTGACATCACTGTTGCTAAACTCACCAAAGAAGAAGAGGTGATCAGTAAGGATGATACATCTGCTGTTTCCATGAAAGAAGAAAAGGGGCAAGAGATTTGTAAAGATGTTATCTCACCCGTCAGCATCACCACAGTGGAAGAAAAGGACGCACCACTGAGTAAAGATGAAATTCTTGCTGACAAGCCAACCACAGAGCAAGAAAAAGAGAAAGAGGCAAGTAAAGATGATAGTTTGGACACCAAACTTTCCAAGGAACAGGAACAAGATACAACAACAATCAAGGATGATGCTTACATCAAGCCTACGATAGCAGAAGACAAGAAGGAAGACATAAGTAAAGATGATACTGCTGCTATTAAACTTACCAAGGCAGAGGACAAAGATAAGCTGCCAAGTACTGAAGATACATCTGCTGTTAAACCAACACTTGGAGAAGAAAAGGAACAAAAGGAAAGTAAAGAGGATACTGCTGCTATCAAAATTACCAAAATGGAGGAAGAACATGTAAAAGTATGTAAAGATGAAGATTTCTCTGCTGCATCAACCAAGGTAGAGGCAAAAGAGACACCTAAGGATGCTGTCAAACCAGTCACAGAGGAAGAAAAGGGGCAAGATATAAGCAAAGATATCATATCTACCATCAAACCTGCCAAGACGGAGGAACAGGATGTAATGAGGAGCGAAGATATTTCGGCTGTCAAAACATCCAAAGACGAATCTGTTGCTAAACCCACCACAGAAGACGAAAAGGAGAAAGAAACCAGTAAAGATGTTTGTGCTGACAAATCAACGATAGAAGAAGTAAAGGAGAAAGAAACCAGCAAAGATATTTCTGCTGACAAATCAATGATAGAAGAAGTAAAGGAGAAAGAAGAGAAAGAAACCAGCAAAGATATTTCTGCTGACAAATCAATGATAGAACAAGAAAAGGAGAAAGACACCAGTAAAGATACCTCTGCTGACAAATCAGTGATAGAAGAAGAAAAGGAGAAAGCAGTGGATAAGGAGGAAACCTCCACTGAGAAATCATCCAAGGAGGAAGATGTTTCAGATCAGGATCATGGTGTTGTTATCAAACCCATTAAGGAAGAAAAAGATACAGTAGTAATTAAGGATGACATTTCTGCCAAGCAGGAGGAAAGCAAAGACACTCCTGGTGTAAAACCCCCTGCAGATGAGGAGAAGAAGGTAGAGTTGAAAGATGTTACATCTGATGTAAAACTCACCAAGGAAGAGGCGAAAGAAATCCCAAAGGCTGAAATTTCTGAAAAAGAAATTACAGTCAAAGAGGAAGAAAGGGAAAAAGAGAAAGAAAAAAGTTCTGATTTTGTGTCTGTCAAGGAGCAGAAAGATGATACTTCTGTCAAAACTATTGAAGATGACAAAGATGTGGAAAAAAGTGACATAATTGACAAACAGATAAAAATGCAGGAGGCTAAAGAGCAGGAGGAGGCCGATGTCTCTGCTGACAAACCAATTTTGGAGGAAATAAAGGATAAAGAAACTGAAAAAGACGACACAAAAAAAGAAAAAGAAACAGATTCCACTGTTGAGCAACCCAAGGACACAAAAGAGCAAGAGCCAGCTAAAGTTGAAACCATCGAGGTCAAAGTCAAACAGGACACTTGTGAAGCTGAATCCATCAAACAGGAGGCAGAGAAGGAGATACACTCTCCATCATTTACCGCCAAAGATGAGAAAAAAGGGAAAGATGATTATCCTTTTGAGCCTGAATCTAAGAAGGAAGATAAAAAAGATATAGATCTCCCCATGTCTCAGACCTTGGACGAGGAGAAAACTAAAAAGGATGATATTTGTGGCGTTGGTGATAAGCATATACATGAAGAAACCTCTGATAAGCTCACTGAAACTCAGAAAGAGAAGGAAACTTCTGGCGCTACATCAGTTGAAAAGCAGCAAGACATTTCTGTAACTACTTCAAGTGAAGACCTGAAACCAGTGAAAGATGACATTTGTGTGTCTCCCGGCCACATCCAGGAGGAGAAAAAGGAGCAAGATAAAGAAGCAAAAGTCATTAGTAGTCAAGAAGAGAAGATGGAGAAAGAGAAAGACGATGCACATGTTGCTGAACTGAGCAAAGAGAAGAAAATGGAAAAGGAGCAGGAAAAAGAATACACCTACGACACTGATGACACCAAAGAAGAAAAGACAAAACCAGAAGAGGATGAAAAGATGATGAAAGAAAAGGATGTTGGAGACAAGAAGATAGATGACATTACTGAGAAAGACTCCGATGCAGACCACACCAAAGAGGAGAAATGGGAGAGAGAAGAGTTACAGGAGAAAGACCTGGACAAAACCAGTAAACAGCCCACACAGACACTATCAGGAGACGCAGCGATGGCATCCAAGTCAGATTACAAACCCGCATTTGTGGTTCAGTCCTCCGATGAAGACAGAGGAGATGAAGAGGAGGAGGACATTTGTATGGGAGGAGCAGGCTCAAGACCTTTGTCCGTGGAGCCAAGAAAATCCGAACATGACATCTCGTCTGCAGGCTTGCCCTCATCCCCAAAACCACCGGCAAGTGACCAGACTAAACCGCCAATATCAGAGCAGAGTACAGTGATCATACCAACACTTACAATGCAGGAGCCCTCTATTGATGAAGACATCAAAGACTTTGACAAAGAAGAATCCAGACTTTCACCTGAAGTCAGTAAAGATGTCATGAAAACAGAAACCACAGCTGCGCCACTTGCCAAGCCAGAGCCCTCTTTTGATATTGTCACATCAAAGGAGGAGACTACCACTATTCCAAAACAAGAAACAGCCTCTGATGTCACAGCAGCTAAAGCTGAATCAGTCTCAGATTCAGCTGAGAAAAAGCCTGTGTTGTCAACGGTATCAAGCACTGACAGTCAACCCAGGAGCTCTACACTCTCAAGCACTGAGAGTCAGTCCAGTGTGGAGGAAATGCCACAACAAGAGAAACAGATACCAACAAGCTCAGTGGTGAGTGCTGCAGAGAAAACAAAGCTGGAGGAGAAGCCAGGAAAGGAAGCAGAGAGGGAGATGGAAGGAGAACGAGAGGTGGCTTCTCCAGGATTATCACAGCCTTGTTCATATTTTATGTTGGATTCTGAAGACGCCAGCCAAACTGAAGTTGTAAAATCAGACACTACAAAAATGACCTCAGAGAAGGAAACGGCCAGTGGAAGCCTCGGAGATGAACAGCAAACCTTTTGTGCGTCCAAGTATGATCCGTATGAAAAGCCCATTCCAAAAGATCATGACTTGGACTCTCAGGAAGAAAGCGAGGTTTCTCTAGGTTTCGATCACGCCTCTGATATTGCAATTGATGATAACAGAAGAACAAGCCAGACAGAGGCTGGAGGAGCAATGTTCCTCCTGGATGATCAGTACAAAGAAGAGCCTCTGTCCTTCAGCAGAGTGGACTACAGCCCGGTGTCCCTCACAGAGAGTGAGAGAAGTAGCCACCAAAGTCAAAGTGCCTCGCCTAAATATGAAGACAGAGAGAAAGGCCAAGAGGAAGAGAGTGAAAGAGAAGAAAGACCAGATACACCTTATGTTGACAAGAGCTTTTCATCCGCAGACATGCAAGATAACAAAATGTCCCAGGCTGCTGAGTCTTATTCTTTCAGTCCCAAAGAGGACAAACCTGAGAAATCCGAGAAAGAGAAAGAGGACATGATGGAAGGTGCTGCAGCAGCAGCAGCTTTTCAACCAGGAGCAACAGGAGTAAGTGATACAGTTTCCAGCAGTGCTGCTGTTCAATCAGCCGGCGTATCATCGAGACAAGAAACACCCTCTCCCTCATGGAGCCAATCAGATCTTGGTACCCAGGTTTCACCTACTCCCACGGCTTTTGCAGAATTCACAGAAAAGAGAACAACTGAAAAAGAGAAAGAAAAATCTGAGTCACTCAAAGACAAAATTGATTCCTCTGATCATGACAGAGAGGGATCTCCATCTGGTCGGCATTCACCTGCAGAAAAAGACATTTTACTTCAACAAGCATCACCTTTGGAGAAAGAAGAAACTTCAAGTGATTCAAGGCCTGCATCTGCTGCCACATTTTCAGGACACGAAATAGACGATAATGTTTTGGCATCTGACAATAGTCAAATTAGCAGCTCTGCCTCTTGTAAATCAATGTTAGACCTTCCAGATGGAAAAGAGAGCCTGATAGACAAAAGGTTACTTGTAGAGGGGGAAGATTTCAACGTTGATGATGATGAAGACGACGATGAGGACGAGGAGGAGGAAGAAGAGGAGGAGTTAAGTGATGTAGATATGGAAAAGGGTGCCAGAGAACAATCTGAAAAAGAAATGTGTAGACGTAGCTCTGGGGATAGTGCCACATTAGCAGAGGCAGAGGACTCAAATAAAAAGTCTCAGTTGCCTGAATCAAGTTTCCTTAAAGAGGAAACAATCGGTAGAGCAACACCTGATGATGCCTCGGCTTCAGACAAGCAGGACTTGACTAAAAAACCACCATCCCCAGAAACAAAACCACCATCCCCAGAAACAAAACCACCATCTCCAGAAACAAAATCACCATCTCCAGAAACAAAATCACCATCTCCAGAAACAGAACCACTCAAAGAAGATACAGCCACATCCAAACTTCCTGAGACAAAGAGTGAAGATGTAGGTAAAACAACTCCGCCCCCAGACTTAAGCGCTCAAAGAATGGATGAAAAGAGTTTCACTACATTAGATGCTCCAAAACTTCCTGAAACAAAGGAAGCAGAGGACACAGACAAGAAGCATCTATCTCCTGAACCAACCACAAAGAGAAGGTTGTCTTCAGCCGAGGATTTTCCACCTCATGAAGACCTGCCGTCAAAAAAAGGAGACAAAGGGTCTCTATCTCCAAGCTTTTTGACAAAGGAAACGTGTCAACCAACATCCACAAGCAGCGTGACGGGCAGCTTTTTGCCATCTGAACATTCAGAATCCGTGTCCAAGACTACATCTAGTCCCTCCCCTCCTCTAAGCAGTAGCTATGCCGACATCGGACAGAGTAGATCTGAAGGTTATTCCGAGCATTTCTACAGTGAGGAGAGTCAAGTAGGATTGAAGGACGATAAGAAAGAAACCTCTGTGCTCTCAGATGCCTCCGGGCTGTCCAAGCGAGGCGATGATAAATATTACAGCCAAAGAGACACCCAAGAAGTAAGTCTAGATGAGAGGCAGACCCTAGATATCACCACAAAACATGAAACTGCCTCATCACCTTGCACATACACCACCTTAACATACTCTTCTTCAACATACTCCTCCACATCATATAGTTACTCATCCTCATCGTCAACATTTGCTCCTTTGAGCCAAAAGTTTGAAGAAAAAGCCCAAACTTTCACAACGCCACCAAGCTCTACAGTACCTCTAGCCAAAGAGGAGTCGTCGTTTACAACAGAGTCTACAAGCTCCTGCTTTGGAGGGTTTCAGAGAGATGAGTACATGGAGGTTACAGCGAAACCTGCAACAAAGGTGACCTTACCCAGCCAGTTTGATGAGACCAAACCATCCTCTTCAGTGTTCTCTACCACTGCCAAACAAACTGAGGATCAAAGCAGCTCTGCAAAGCCTGAAATGGCAACAAAGTCAAGCACTGATAGTTTTCATATGCTAGAAACTAAGATTACAACATCTTCCGCAGCGCCATCTTCACAAAGTGTCGAACCAGTAAAGGTGTTAGAGAGTTTATCCACATCAGAGGCTCACTTTGATGTCTCTCCCCTCCAAAGGGCTGACTCCTCTGACAAGGTGTCCCAAGAGTCATCGGAAGATGAGGAGCCTGTTACACTTGAAATGGATGACAGCACTCTACCATGTCGTATTGAATGTCAAAAAATCAAAGTGTCTGAGCAAAAGGAGACTTTTTCATCAATAACTGAGTCATATGTGGTTGAAAGTACCACACAGTCCGCAGAGACGAAAACAGTCACCATCACCTCTACTACTGTTGTGTCTAAACCTGATGTGGTGATGGAAACAACTCAACAGACAGCCTCACTTACTTCACTGAGTGATTGTGGAGCTAGCAAAACCACATGTGCCACAACAGACGTGTCCAAAACAGAGAAAGAGAAAATGGATAAAACAATGGGAGTAAAAGAGGAAAAGACAGATGGAGCTATTTCACCTTTGAAGGAGGATGCAAAGGCTTCAGGAAAAGATGAAAGGACAGAGATGGCTAAAGACAGTGAAGTCAAGCAGAAAGCAGAGGAAAAGAAACAGGAGGAAAAGATGTGTAAAGACAGCACAGAGGAGAAAAAGGCAACAGCTGATCCAAAGATGTGTGAAAAAGCAGAGGATGGTAAGAAAGGAGAGGCAGAAAAAGTGGAGGAGAAAAGCTTTTTGGACAAACCACCAGAGAGATTAGAAACCAGGAGAAGGAGCAGCATATCTGACTGGGAGCTACTACAGAGGCCTGAAGACTGCCCAAGTGCCCCTCCTCCAGGTTATGGGGATGATGATGATGAGGAGGAAGAGGAAGCAATGGAAGCAATGGAATGGATGGCCAGTGTCCACAGTACCTCTCACACAGAAACATCCAGTACAGGAGCCGTGAGGGCTGATCGTCCCTCTGACTTGAACACCGGCGCCACCTCCTCCTCTGCCTCCCATCCAGGTTACTCCTCCTGCGAATACAAACATCGCAAAGGAGAACTTTCTCCGTCGTTCATCAACCCGAGCCCTCATCAGCTCTCCAGCGACGAGGGGGAAGGCGAGGAGGACGCTGGCAGTGACCACTCCCAGGAAGGGGATGAGGATGATCAGGAGCAACACTCTGTGAAATGGAGGTCCCACAAGCAGAGGCGCCACCACGCTCAGAGTTACCATGGAGACGCTGGACAAGGGCCACAACAGCAGCCCGGCGCCATGTCATCTGGCTTGGCTGTGACGTTAGCTGGAGAGGAAACACCGCCGACATCAGTGAGCGAGTCGTTGCCGTCACAGTCTGATTCTGATGTCCCTCCAGAAACCGAGGAGTGTCCGTCTATAACAGCTGAAGGAAATCTGGACTCAGACGAAGACGCTGAACATCTGCCAGTCGACAAATTATCTGGAACTGGGGGTGGTCACCATCCTCCATCACCAAGGTCAGCTCAAAAGACTCATGACCCCCTACCTACTCCAATGAAGGACCCGCATCCCCACCCTCCACACCCAGATGTGTGCATGGTAGATCCAGAGGCGCTTCCCAATGACCACAGCAGCACAGAGAAACTTCTGAAAAAGGAGCACAAGACCACCAAGGGGCTCAGAAAGGGCAAGCCCAAGTCAGCCTCTCCCGCTCGTAAGGGGGAAGTCAGGAAAAGGTCCTCTACTCCAGTGAAGCAGACTTCTAAAGACTCTGCCTCACCTCGATCAGCTTCCCTCAGGAGGAAGGACCCAGACAGAAGCTCCAGGCTGATCAAGATGTCTGAGACCCAAGGCTCCAGGAGTGAGCTGCTCAACCCAGCAAAGGCCTTGGTCAACGGTGTCAAGAGCAGTTCAGGTGTGTTAACATCTTCACATCCTAAAACATAACATGAATTTACCTTCAAAGTTATTTCTGGGCTGATTAAAACTGACTTAAGACAAAAGCACGAGTTTTAATTTCCTGTGCCAGAAATCATATTTAAGATAGCAATAAAATACTTGATATTGGATCTTTTCAACAATAAAAATAAATTTTGTTGTGGATGTTAAAACCCAACGATACAACTGAATTGCAATTAGCCACATTTATATGCTCATTAAAAAGCAGTTATAAGTCAGCATAGTGTTTGTGAATTCTCTTTAATTATATAAATGAGATTAAGTTCTTAATGAAAATACAGTTAACTACACTAACATAAGTGTTATACTTGCATTAGTACCATTGAAGAAAGTTGTACATGTGCTGTTTGATTGACAGCTCATTTTGTACAGGCCTTGTACACTTTCTGTTCGAAAATTTGACAAGTCTAGTTTTAATAACGTCAAGTGTAGACATGCAAAAGATTATGTCATTAAAAACTGTGCAGTAAGGATGTACATTAAACAGAATAACATGACTCAAGGGAAACAGGAGCACATTGAAATGATGGATGTGCAGCACAGACAGTATTCTACAAAAGGTGTAATAATACACTGTGGTCATATTATTTTATAAGAATCAATTTGTTTAAATAAATTGGTTAACAAAATGTATTTAGTTCAGCTGAGTTGTTTTTTGCTTCTGCATTTTAAGTAAGTACTATTATTGCCCTCTAATGCTCTCATGTATCTCTGTTCACCTCCAGGTAACAACTCCCAGAAAACTAGCTCGGCCGTCCCCCCTGGACCACCCATCTATGTCGACCTTGCCTATGTGCCCAACCACTGCAGTGCCAAGAATGTGGACCAGGAATTCTTCAAGAGAGTGCGAGCTGCATACTATGTGGTGAGCGGGAACGACCCTGGCAGCGGAGAGCCCAGCCGTGGAGTTCTGGACGCCCTGCTGGAGGGCAAAGCTCAGTGGGGCTCCAATTTACAGGTATTTGTCGTCCTCAATCTGTCTGTGGCTCCAGTTCTCATAATTTCTGCTTTAAAGTGTATGCACAGTAAAGACTACTCTGGGGAATTTATTTTAAAATAAGGTCTATTTTGATGCTTTTTTTTTTTATGAAGTCTGGTGACTTATTTACACTCGAAGTCTTAATCATTGAAAATGAAGTTAAGAATTAAAATACATACCAAAGAAACTTGTTTACTTTCAAGATTGATTGTGAATTGTGATATTAAAAATAATAGTAGTTATTAGTCATACTTTAGTATGACCCCAAAAAAATCTTAGTATACTGTTAAAAAAAAAAGTCATAATGTAGTATGACAAATAAGCGTAACAGTACTTTTTGGGCAGTAGTATGCCAAAGAAAATCCCAGTATAGTTTGACCAAAAATACATTTTATACAATACTTTCACAAACAAAGAATAGAAAACGTTTTTGTATTGTATGACAAAAATTAATAAATAAATAAATAAATCATAGTAAAGTATGCCATGGTCTGGTTCTGGTTGGCTCCATTTGATGTAGTCAAAAAGTCACAGTATAGTATGACAAAATAGGTCATAGTATAGTACCATTTGTCAGGAAAGTCATAGTATAGTGTGACAAAAAAGTGGTAATATAGTATAACAAAAAAGTCATAGTATCATATATTGAAAAAAGAGTCATAACATAGTATTATTATTATTAATTTATTTATTTAGAGGACAGTGCACATTAATGATCATTGCTGTAAATGTGCCGGTGTTAGCCAAAGGCTAATTTTCAACTGCAGTCCTCCGGACAAAAAACTCTTATTATAGTATGACGAAAAAAATGTTACTATGTGTACAAAAATGTCATAGTATAGTATGGCGTCATGCCATTTTGACAATGGCATGAAAAATGTCATAGTATAGTATGTTGTAAAAATGTGATAAAAATTGTCATAGTATAGTATGTTGTCAAAATTTGATCAAAAATGTCATAGTATAGTATGGCATCAAAATGTGATAAAAATGGTCATAGTATATTGTCAAAATTTGATTAAAAATGTCATAGTATAGTATGGTGTCAAAATGTGATAAAATTGGTCATAGTATAGTATGTCGTCAAAATGTGATTAAAAATGTCATCGTATAGTATGTTGTCAGAATGTGATTAAAAAAATGTCATAATATAGTATGTTGTCAAAATTTGATTAAAAATGTCATAGTATAGTATGGCGTCAAAATGTGATTAAAAATGTCATAGTATAATATGGCATTAAAATGGCATAAAAAATGTTATACTACAGTATGTTGTCAAAATTTGATTAAAAATGTCATAGTATAGTATGGCGTCAAGATGTCATAAAAAATGTCATAGTATAGTATGACGTCAAAATTTGATTAAAAATGTCATAGTATAGTATGGTGTCAAAATGTGAGAAAAAATTGTAATAATATAGTATGCCGTCAAAATGTGATTAAAAATGTCATAGTATAACATGGCATAAAATGGCATAAAAAATGTCATAGTATAGTATGTCGTCAAAATTTGATTAAAAATGTCATAGTATAGTATGGTGTCAAAATGTGATAAAAAATGTCATAGTATAGTATGTCGTCAAAATGTGATAAAAAATGTCATAGTATAGTATAGTATGTCGTCAAAATGTGATAAAAAAATGTCATAGTACAGAATGGCATCAAAATGGCATAAAAATGTCATAGTATAGTATGTTGTCAAAATGGCATGAAAATGTCATAGTATTGTATGTCATCAAGATGTCATAAAAATGTCATAGTATAGTATCAATCAATCAATCAATCAATTTTATTTATAAAGCCCAATATCACAAATCACAATTTGCCTCACAGGGCTTTACAGCATACGACATCCCTCTGTCCTTATGACCCTCACAGCTGATAAGGAAAAACTCCCCCAAAAAAACCCTTTAACGGGGAAAAAAAACGGTAGAAACCTCAGGAAGAGCAACTGAGGAGGGATCCCTCTTCCAGGACGGACAGACGTGCAATAGATGTCGTACAGAACAGATCAGCATAATAAATTAACAGTAATCCGTATGACACAATGAGACAGAGAGAGAGACAGAGAGAGAGATGCAGGTAATGACAGTAGCTTACAACAACATTATTGAAAGTAATAATATTATAGTTATAGTTCTGGCTACTGTGGTACAATATGTTGAAAGTATGTATTAATATCTGGCAGTATACATGTGTGATAATAATCATATGTGTATAATAACAGTAGAAGTATGACTAATGACTAATGATGGCAGCAGCAGCAGGAGGCATCTGGCAGGACCACGGCAGCAGCACAACCACACACGTCACGTTGTCCAGGCACCGCTGCGATATGAGTTAATCTGAGAGACAGTGGAGCACAAAGGCTCCGGAGAAGAAGCCGAGTTAGTGACATCCAGAATGGCCGAGTTAGCAAGATGCAGTAATAGAATACGAGAGAGAGAGAGAGAAGAAGAGAGAGAGAGGGAGCCCGGTGATTATAGGGGGGTCCTCCGGCAGACTAGGCCTAAGTCAGCCTAACTAGGGGCTGGTACAAGGCAAGCCTGAGCCAGCCCTAACTATAAGCTTTATCAAAGAGGAAAGTCTTAAATCTAGTCTTAAATGTGGAGACGGTGTCTGCCTCCCGGACCGTAACAGGAAGATGATTCCACAGGAGAGGAGCCTGATAGCTGAAGGCTCTAGCTCCTGATCTACTTTTGGAGACTTTAGGGACCACGAGTAACCCTGCGTTCTCAGAGCGCAGTGTTCTGGTGGGATAATATGGCACTATGAGCTCACTAAGATATGATGGAGCTTGACCATTTAGAGCTTTATAAGTTAACAGTAGGATTTTAAATTCAATTCTGGATGGTATGTATGGCGTCAAAATGTGATTAAAAAAAAATGCCATAGTACAGAATGGCATAAAAATGGCATAGTATAGTATGTCATCAAAATGTGATAAAAAAAAATGTCATAGTATAGTATGTTGTCAAAATGGCATGAAAATGGCATAGTATTGTATGTCATTAAAATGGCATAAAAAATGTCATAGGATAGTACGGCGTCAAATTGTGATAAAAAATGTCATAGTATAGTATGTCGTCAAAATGTGATAAAAAATGTCATAGTATAGTATGGCGTCAAAATGGCATAAAAATGTCATAGTATAGTATGTCGTCAAAATGTGATAAAAAAATGTCATAGTACAGAATGGCATCAAAATAGCATAAAAATGTCATAGTATAGTATGTCATCAAAATGTGATAAAAAATGTCATAGTATAGTATGTCGTCAAAATGTGATAAAAAATGTCATAGTATAGTATGGCGTCAAAATGGCATAAAAATGACATAGTATAGTATGGCGTCAAAATGTGATAAAAAATGTCATAGTATAGTATGTCATCAAAATGTGATAAAAAATGTCATAGTATAGTATGTTGTCAAAATGTGATAAAAAATGTCATAGTACAGTATGTCATCAAAATGGCAAAAAATATCAGTATAGTATGCCATCAAAATGGCATAAAAAATATCATAGTATAGTATGTCATCAAAATGGCATAAAAAATGTCATAGTATAGTATGGCATCAAATTGTGATAAAAAAATGTCATAGTATAGTATGTCATCAAAATGGCATTAAAAAAATGTCATAGTATAGTATGGCGTCAAAATGGCATAAAAATGTCATAGTACAGTATGTCATCAAAATGGCAAAAAATATCAGTATAGTATGCCATCAAAATGGCATAAAAAATATCATAGTATAGTATGCCATCAAAATGGCATAAAAATGTCATAGTATAGTATGCCATCAAAATGTGATAAAAAATGTCATAGTATTGTATGTCATCAAAATGTGATAAAAAATATCATAGTGTAATATGGCATTAAAATGGCATAAAAATGTCATAGTATAGTATTGAGTCAAAATGTCATAAATAATGTCATAGTATTGTATGTCATCAAAATGTCATAGTAAGATGTTACGTGTTAATTCGTTATCTTTAGATAACCTGGGCTACTTTGTTCTCCCTGCTTTCAGTCTTCATGCTAAGCTAGGGTAACTAAACTCCTGGCTGTCGATTCATATTTAACATACAGACAGAGGGAGTGGTATCAAATCATCATCTGACTATAGGAAGAAAGCAAATCACCGCATATACCCAAAAATGACTACTTGTTTAAGTCTTTTCTATCTCCTAACTCATTTTGTTGCCTTGTGTCCCCGTCAGGTCACTCTGATCCCAACCCACGACACTGAGGTGACTCGGGACTGGTACCAGCAGACCCACGAGAGGCAGCAGGACCTGAACATCATGGTTCTGGCCTCCAGCAGTACCGTAGTCATGCAGGACGAGTCCTTCCCTGCCTGCAAGATCGAGTTCTGAGCTACACGAGCCCCGCTGTGCTTCCCCTGCCCCTCCCATCCTCCCTGTCCCTGTCATCTGTTCTTACTGGAGGTAGAGCGAGAGCTAACAGCACTCTCTGCTCCTTCAAGGCTTCTCGCTCTCTCATGGTACCAGTCTCAAAACGCATCTGCTGCAGCTCTCGATACTCTAGATTCTGTTAGTTGAAGTCAAAGTCAAAACTCTGGGTTTATGCTCTCTGTGACAGTGGGGTTATCACGCAAATAATAATGTACTTTTATGTTTGTTTTCTTCTGTGAGTTAACAGTCTGCCCAAACACACCTCTTATACTAGCACTAACAATCGTGGTTACAAAATGTAAAACATTTACTAGCATAATAATGCTTTTGCCTCATATCTAACAGATAAATGGACATTATTATCCCACAAATGCATAATGCCACAGTTAAACTATAGAATAATAGGGTGTAGATCTTAAACTGTGTGGCTCAAATCTCAATTAATTTGGAAATGTGATACTCCCAAGAGGCAAATCTCTCACCTAAAAGAAGTGCCAAAACACTGCAAAACAGTTCTCATTAGTTAACTCCTCCAAAACATCTCCTAAAATCAAAAAGTGATCAATAATTTTAGACTGTGTGCACAGTGTCTTTAGAAGATTAGACATTTTTTCAGTTTATTTTCCATCTGTGCACATAACAAACTCATCTGTTGCAATTCTGATCACGCTACAGTAGTTTTTGGATTAACTCAATAACGACATAAATTGATGTTATGTAAAAGACAAAAAAAAAAAAATTTAAATTACGTCGTCATTTGTGGTGAGGTTTTAGGAGGTGCCTGAAGTTGCCACTGTTTGAAATCTTTCTTCTCGGCTTTCACAGCTTAGCTGGTGCATGATGCTTGCGTTTTAGCTCGGACTCTTTCAGAACTGCGTAGGGTTAATCCTTCCTTTAGCCAGCCTTCAAGTGTGGAATGCAGTATAGTGTAGATAAGTTACTACACTGTTTGGCTGTCGATGCTAAAGTGAACTCAGTAGGCGCCAGGCACAAAGGATGATGTCTGTACACTAATCATATCTCTGCTGGATGTAATGGTTCCTCTCTAAGTCTTTATCATGCTCTTTGTTGGTTGTATGTACTACAGTATACACATAGGGTAAATGTTTCTATATCAATACAGAGGTTATGTTAAATAAATTATATATTTTGTGATGATGCAGCAAACTATGAGGCAAATGCAACGTTTTTGGTCATGCGTTTGAGAAGAAGGTTTAATTAACATTATCTGTCATTTCCTCCTGTTCAGCTACATTTTACTGTCTCTGTCAATATCACAAAGTGATGGGAGAATAAAAAAAAACAAAAAAACAAGCAGTGACCTGTGACAAATGTAGCAATGGAAGCTTGTGCGCTTGTCCCTTTGGAGGGAGTGTTACGCCAGTGGAAACTGCAATATTTATATTTATTATTGGGGTTATTTTTCAGGACAAAAAAAGTGTGAAGTGTGTTACAGGAGGCTTCTTTCATGTGCCTTTTAGCTTGTGGTTTTGGAGTTTTGGAGAGAGGGGAATGTTTTAAGGACATGTCAGCCAATTTAAAGCGCAACCAGAAACCAGGGTAAAACAAAGAAACCAAGTACTTTGAAGCAGAGGACCAATCAGTTCACACAGTACACGCACAAACTTTAGCCACACCCAGGACGCTCTGAAACACTACACTAAATATCTTTGGAGCTCTGAAATCCGATTCAGCATTAATCCACATTCTGAGATGCCACTTTTAAACAAATATGAATGTCTCTGAGCAAAGTGTTACACCAAATAGGAATGTACTTTTCTGAGAGTTTAAGAGTCGGATTTTTGTCTGTAGTTGAAGCACAGAGAGAGAGTGTGGTAGCAGAAAATAACTGTTCACTGTATTATGAAATTTTCTACAAGATGTTTCTCAAAAAAACTGAGCTTGCTGTCAAACACGGGACGACACTTTAATTATAAAGCAATTACCTACTATTAATCCCAGAGTAATATTTAAAGAATGAGCATGAATGTGATGATTATGATTGTACAGGACGAAGATATAAAGTAGGAATATCTTTGAAGTAGTGTTGTGTGTGTGTGTGTGAGTATACACACCGAGTAGCTGTTTTTGTAACGCAGCATGGTGCTGAGGCGAGTGACTTCTGTGGGTTCAGTACGAAAGGTCTTTCTGCTTGTTCACAGACTGATTGGAGAGTCGCTCATGTGCTGACGTAGAACATGAGGCCAAGTTTTATTTCTTCATTTGTATGTGAATTTTTAGAGTAACAAATTTACATTTTCCAAATTTGTGCCAAGACGCAAATTTGATTAGTTTTTAAATTTCATTTTCGTCTAAATAAGAAATACATTTCTGCCAAGTCGGCTCATCACATGATTTTTATTTTTGTTTTGTGAGGATTGATATGAAGCGAGGGGACAGGCCAGGCTGGGCGATAGAGGAGAGGAGGCTTGGGTTTCCTGAAAGGACTTTGTTTGAGCTTTTGACGACACATTGATTGTCAGGATGTTGCCAACTAAAAGCAGGGAGGATCCTCTGCTTGCACATATTAACTATTCCCTCAACCTGATTCAAAAATATGGGACAACCCCCACAGAAGGCTAGAGCATGCTGTCAGCTGATGCTAGCCTGGGACCAGTGCCATTTTCTTTCCCTGTAAAACTCATAAAGCTCACGCTACCTTATACCTTATCTTCCAAAGCCTCCGTGCTCTCCGCTCTGCCCGGCCTCCCCCAACATTAGACATGTCCATTATGCACATTGAGCCTTGGTATGCATCTCGTGCTTGTGATGATTCAGGCAGACATAGCTTTTTATTTTCATCCCACTGGGGAGAGTTTGATGCAGATTGTATATTAAACAGCTGGGCACGCACAAGTACACACCCTAGTCTGGTGGGAGATGATTAAGTGAAGGGCACATAAAGACGTGCACACAGAGGGGACAGTGAACGTTTAAAATGACTCCCTTAAAAACAAGCAAAAAGTCCTTTTCACCCCCTCTTCGATGCTGTCTGGAAATGTGTCCGAAAAAGCCAGAAAGAAGATCAGATTTTGTGGATGGTCTGATGTATTGTACTGTCTTTGAATAGTGTTTTTAAGTTGGCGGATTCCAAATACCCAGCCTTGAGATGTTCAAGGCATCAGTTAGAACGCTGTGAATCACTCAATACTGAACTGTATGACGATACAGAAGCTGAATGCACTATACAGGAGATCTATTTTTCTGAATGTAGAGTTGGTACTACCATGCGAATGCTGCTGGAACAAAACAATAGACAAAAAAAGAAATAAAAAACAAAACAAAAAAACAAAACACTCACACCAGCCTGGACAGAAATACATTTTTAGGGAGCGCAGAGTGAGAGCAGATACTGTTGTTCTGTCTTGACAAAACTGTCATTTCGATTACGGTTCTGCTTCAGAGGAGAAAAGTTTGATTTCTGACACGACAGAAAGCAACTGAGATCCTGTAACAAACATATTAACAGTAACACAGAAATAGTACTAACTGCAGCTGCAACTTTTTCCTTTTCCTGAATATGACTTGAAACACATGCAGACTCAAAAACCATCGATGAAATTAAACAAATGCTACATGTACATGTACGTACTGTGCACACAGATTTGTACATAATCGCTCCGGAGAGAACAAATCTGAAAGCTACAACAAACGATCCTTCTTGTGATACCTGCTCATTTTAACTGGTTTTAGTGACAGTATGACCCAAACTGCTAACTACTCCTCGAACCAAGAAAACTACACAAAACGCTGACAAGAAACAGAATGAAAAAAAAAAAAGCGTCTTTCAGTTCAATTTCATCACCATACCTGCATTGAAATGAAGATATCATTTGGTCATCTGTCCATCTAATCTCTCTGCATGTGATTTATTTAGTTATAATCCTGAATGTAATTGTTTAACTTGGAAATAATAATAAAAAATACAATGCTATTTTAAAGAGGTATATTTGAGAAAAAAAAAAAGCTAATTGTCTTAAATGGTACTGAAATGACCTACAGTAATATAATACTGGGCTGTGCTTTTATTGTTTGCCCTATTAACATGTTGTTAAGAAGACGCTGTATTGGTAGTTCTGTTTGATTCTCTCTATCTCTATTTTTTTTTTTTTTGCATTGTATTAATCTTAGTTATGTTTTTCTTCCTCAATGCGATATTCAATATCTCTCTGTCTCTTTAAATCTAACTGGTAAAACTAGAACTACTGCAGATTCATTGTAAAAGGGAAACAGCCTGGTGATCATCAATTAAAGTACATTTAAATCTAAATGTGTCCTGAGTGTGTCTTTTGTCCTTTTACAGGTCCTTTTGTATATTGAGTGTTAGTAACTAAAACAATTAGAATAACCACATGAACAGTGAAATAGTAACTGATTTGTCACCTATGACTAATACCTGGTTCACACTACAAGACTTTTCTGCCCGTTCTGAAAGTCACTATGTCATATTACACGATTGTGGAGTCATAAAATCGTGCCGTGACTTGGCCAACAGACATGACACACTACACGATGGTCCACACCAATTGACCTATGGCTAAGCCACGCCCCCCTCCACTCACTCAGAGGCCGTTTACACGTTGCCGGCTATTTTCATAAACGGACATTTCACCGTCTCCGTTTTCAAAAAATTCTTCGTTTACACTTACCCGTGTATATATACACAAGAGCATGCCAAACCTGTAGGTGGCAATGTAACGAGTAGCTCAAGCCTTCCATGTATCCATTGTCACCATAGCAACATAGGTCGCACTCATGGGTCGCACTTTTGACACAGGCGCAAGTTCCGGCGCATACTGTGACGTCGGCTGCCTATAACTCCGTCTATCTGCGTTTATCTCAGTTTACATGCAAACGTGCAACCGGAGTTTTCCACAATCTCCACTCTGGCCGGAGTTTTTAGAAAGACTCGTTTTCAGAGGAGAAATCTCTGTTTGCGTGTAAACGAAGGGCACAAACGAAGGAAGATGTCTCCGTTTATCAAAATCACCGTGTACGTGTAAACGGCCTCTGAGACAAACTATCAACATTCAGTGACTGGCGCTATGGCAGGTGTCACAGTACACGGCATTTCGCAGGAGGCAATTGATGATTTTTGGGGACATAACGATCAGATGTCATTGAGAAGTAACCAAAAGGGCCTAAACTACTCATTGGAGGGATATATTCATCATTTTATTGTTGAGAAGGTCGATGAAAAGCTTAAATTACAAGCCAAAATTTACAGGTCACAGTGTACGTTTGTGAACCGCATCTCGTTGCCGTCGCCATCTAAGACAACAAGTTAAAGTGCCACTGAAGTTCAGGTTTTTGGCTCAGAATATGAGAAAAGGATAACAGCCTTTTTACCATCTTTACCAAGAGTGTCTCTCCGTTAGTTTGGTGCTACAGTATTTACACTGAATCATTCAGCATAACGTTTGCCAACCTTTGTTATCTCTGCCATTACAGATAAGTTAATGAAGCTAAGCTCCAGAAGTTAACGTTACCTTAACTAGAGCCCTTTGGACAACAGCTAACAATGATGTACGATCACCAAATTACAAAACTAGAACAAAATAGGCTAATGAACTCCCAGCAAACAAGGTGACATGATGAACAATGCAGCTAGGAGCTAACGTTAGGCTAACTTTAGCTAACGTTAGCTAGAGATGTTAAAGATAACTTTATATTTCTTTCCAGCAAAGTGACAATATGTTGCTTCAAACACTATGTTGTCTTGCCTTAAAACAGATGTAGACATCATTGTTAATCTTATTCACGTTGAGTTGATGTTGTGGTCTAACGTTACCGCACAACTTTATCCAAAGGAGACACTTTTCTCGGTTGAGATGTGGTTTAAGAAAGGGTAAAAAATACACCTCGTTGCCCAGCCTCTCAGGATACCTTGTGTAGGAGTTGCATGTATGCACACTGTTTGACCATTTTTAATCTTCAAATCTCCAAAAAAGCTCATAAAACCAAACGGACTTTCTGTAATGCATTCCAATGAACGTCCAGGCAGAGAATGTCCGAGTGTATCGGAACTGCTATACGCACTGTGATTGGCTCATCGCGTTTGAGGGCGGGACTTAGCTATAGGTCAATTATCCCCGGTCGTCTTTCACGAGATGTGTGTTGTCATCGGGTTATTCTTGTCCTATTTTTATTATTATTACTATTATTTGAGTCACTGTGTCTGTTCATGTGCCAGCCAAAAAGCGCCATGGCAGGAGCTACATTTGAAGTACCGTACGCAAACATACAAGTCACTGAATCCTCCACAACAAGTTCCTGCAAATGTTTCACAATAAGAGCCCGTTTAGAAAATGAAGGGATTCTTTCTCTATTTTGAAACGGATACAGGAAGTGTTGAGTTTGAAATGGCGGTGCAATGCATTAACTTTGTCAAGGCAAACGAGAGCGGATAAAAAGTAAAAATATATAATAATAATCATACACAGACATTCGAGGTGGCCAGGCTATGAGCTACGAATGAAACAGGGACAGATCACGAGAGCCTCCATAAGATGGACACCACGAGGCAAAAGAAAAGCTGGAAGGCCCAAAACCACTTGGAAAAGTTCTGTGACAATGGGGTTGTAAAAGATGAACCTGTCATCGGGAGAGGCGCGACATGCTGCCAAGGATTAAATGCAATGGAAAGAGCTCATTGAAGCCTCATGTCCCACAGAGGATGAAGAGAAGTAAGTAAGTTACAAATGTGGGGATTTGAATTTGTGTTGTTTCTGTTACAAACCTACTTCCTTCATTCTCCTGATAAAATCTAGATAAAAAACCACGTTATTACAGTGATTTATTTGCACTGTGACATGTAATTGCCATTTGTAGGAAGTTTTAGTGACAGATTAATTCCTGGCACGTAATGCATTAGCTCTTAACTGAGTCTCCATCAGGATGAAAAAAGAGGATCTATTTTAAAATGTATTGCTTTATTTGGGCGTTCTCATTAACTTTGATTAGTTCCAGCTGGTGGACAAACATCTATTTACTTCTGTTTCAGTCGTGTCTGCAACTCTATTATAATTCAGTTTCTACAGAGTAACACTGCTCAGTTTGATCTCGGCCCTCTCATGGTCCCAGTCTGACATTACCATGCTGGGGTCGGAGGTTAGTGACAAGTAAGTCTTCAAAGTTGGTTTAAACTGAAGGGGGTGAAGAGTTGCATTTTCTCAAAGTGGAAATAGACGACTTATTATGGAGTAAATGTTGACTGCACAATGTAATGGCTTTAGAATATTGACAGCATCAGTGTTTAGATTGGTTCCCTATAAGCCTCACTTTCACTTTGAAGTTCTGTTTGCTCATGGGTACAACTTACTGGGCAAATAAGTCATGAAATTTGACATTCATGGTCCCCAAAGGCAACACATTCACTCTGACCTTGTCACATATCGCTATTGGTCATGGACCTTCCACGTCCAGATATGACGTCAAAGCTACCCTGGGTGTGCTGGTTGTTGACGTTCTGGGACACCGTGTCATGTTCTGCCTGTTACATACTGTCTCTTTCAAAATAAATGCACTACGTCAGTACAACAATGCAAATTGACTTTTTTTTCCTCCAACAACAAATGTGGTTAGGTTTAAGAAAAAAGAACAGAGTTTGACTTTATAATTTTACAGGACGTGGACACCAGTCATCTGTTGGGC